TCTGTTCTTCACAATGATCGACCGCCTGTGTGCAAAATGGGTGAACGTATGTGAAACATCTACTGTTAGTACTTACCGTGATATATCCATGACTAACTGACACCACTAAATTGGTAATATGTTCCATGCACCTTGAGAAATTGTGAGAAATTACGAGGTTACCACCGCACTTTCATGCAAAACGCGCGTACGATGTGTACTGCATGCCGTTACTAAGCTATGTGTCAACAAACACGCGCCTAAATGCAAGGTGGGTAACAAGGGAAACGGGGCTATTTTCGGTCGCGCAGCAATTTCAACTATCACTGGCAGATGACAGCTGTAGGAGGGTTGATGCTGAATGATACTGGCTTAGTGAATATCATGAAAATTCTGGTTGTATCATGTCTCTGACGTCATCAGTGATATCAGCTGCTGCTCACTACACGTGTACGCGGGCAATCAAAACGCTCTAAAAGTTTACATGGAGTTTACAAGTTTACATATCCGTTATATGGAGAAATGAGCATATACAGAGGTGGCACATAGTGTTAGCCATCGAATAAAGTCGAAAATGAAAAATCGGTAAAATTTTGCCTAAAACCTTAATTCAAACCGAGTGGTTTCGATGTCGCTACTCTTGTTTCAGGTATCAGAATCTCGCTATAGCGACAGATGCGCCAAAAGAAGAATCTCAAAAGATTTCGTCAGGGAAACGAGTTTCAGTAAGTATCAATCTTGGAAGTTGTTGAACTCAATATAGTTTTCATATAATCTAAAGAGTAAGTGGCCATATTTTCACATGTAGTGTACAATATTCTGCTTTGGTAAATGAGGGCTAATCTCAATATTATATAAATAGACTACTATCAGAAACCCTGCTACTGCCCATAGGGTAATATTTATGGACACTGTTTTCATATCATTCACATTACCAGAAGTGAATAAAAATGAATATTGGTGATTAAAATACAAAATTTAATTGAACATTCAATGAAATATTCCTCGCAGTTCTATAGACTTGTTACCGCAGCAGCCACACGTTGCTGCTTTTACAATCATCTCGTGCGCCACAGTCACCATTACGTGTATTGTGTAATTCCAGGCAACCTGGTCTTTCAATTTGGGCCAAGCTGCAATTGAGATGCACGTGATAACTTTTCCGTCCACTCCACCATCTATCTTAGTATTGGGTGAGTTTGCAGTAAGGGTGCTAGACGATAAATTCAGTGGTCCACACTTCGCCATTACAGGTCAGCAACCATCAAAATTCCGGGTTCGAATTAAGCGGCGGTCCCGATTAAGTGGTGAACACATAACAACGTGTATAAGGATTGTTTTTCAAAGGCATGTCGTTTATGTGATGCATCCGTTTATCTTAGGCCCAATAAAGCGGGGACCACTGTATGTAGATTTGACTTCCACTGCTTCATGTGCAGCAACTGCATGTGTCAGATAATCTGCTTAAAGAAGTATGACACTTAAAATATTTGTGTTAAAGGTAGATTGAGATTGTTTAATATTTGCACAGTTATTTACTCAACGTTTGAACAATGTGCCTAATTCACAGGTGATACATAATAAAAGTGCATTTATTTAGACTGAGGGTTAAATTCGTATGTGTAGAATTCATGGATGTATCGAAAGATTGATGATGCATCCAGTCCTTCATAGTTTGCTTCAATAAGAACATTATTGGTATTAATAACTTACATGTTTTGTTTATGCGCAGGTGAGAGAAACATATTTTGTCTATCCGATGTTGGAAAGCTGAGATTCATGCATAAGTTAAATTACAATCCTAGCTGTATGGTGCCGTATAGGACATGTAAGTACCTGTAACATGAACATGTTTTGCCAGATATTGCAAACGTTGAAAGCCTTAATAAACCGTCTAAAGCTATACAGGCTCTTGTGCTTCACATCCGGTGATTCATTTCTGTATACAAGTTGTTGTTTTTTTTATATGAGATATATGCTTGGTGACAAGTTTCATCCAGTGCCTCTAGAGTGAAAGTGACTTTTAATTTAGGCCGATAAACAATAAGTTTTTACCATAATATTACTTACCTTTAGGTATTTTATCAAAAAATGTGTTTTTGTAACTTTTGAAACAATAGTAAATCCAGTAAAATCAAGAATTTGAAAAGGGGCGTGATCTAATCGTGACGTGGATTTGGGAATCTGTGCTGAGCTTTGTAATGGATGACCGGATGTGTAGCCACTGCGTTTAATTGAAGTAGAAAAATTAGTTTGAAAGAGTTGCATGTCTTCTCCAGCATCAGAAGGGAAGGTGAATTACCTGGTGGCATCGCATACGAAAACGCTGATGGTGTATGAAGATACGAAGCTGAGATGGGCCTCTCAGATGAACACTGTGCCGGTAGTCATCCGTACAGCTTCATTTCAGTAAGTACAGATAAATGTCGATAAATGTCGATAAATGTCATTTAACGAGATGTGCACGCTCTTAAAGAAAATCGTGCTGCAGTGTTTTTCTGCAGTAGCACAATATATGTGACAGTTTTGCATATAATCTCCTAGTGTCATAGTTACATAAATGATTCAACATCGTGTATGTTTCTAGGCTACTTTCGGCCTTCGTATTTTCATTGATACAATATATTCTCGTTCCTGCTGATCGCACACGTGCACAGTATTACTACCTACAGAATGCATGTTTATCTGTTTTCATTCAGTCGTCTGCGTGGCGGTATTGTCGCTCTGGACGAGAGAGGGCAGCTACAGATTTGCTACCTGGGCACGGATCCGTCGCTGTTCGTTGCCCCGGCAACAGAATCGCGCGACATCAACTATGAACAGCAGGATGTGGAGATGAGGAGTCTGCAGAAGGTCATCCGAGCCTCTACGAAGAGTACAGGTCAGCTCCTTGTCTGTCTGTCTGTGCTGTCCATCTCCGACCGTGTTAATTTTATTAGTAGTGAATGGATGTTTCTTTTATTAATGGGAAAGTTATTTAGAAATAATTAAATTACATGACATTTGTATTATTCGTAATAAATGAAAAATTTTGGAAAATTTTGCAAAAGATGTCTTGCAACTTTAGCTAGCAAAACATAGTTGACAAGACTTTAGTAGTGCGTGCCTGCGTGCCTGCTTGTGTACATGCACAAGCATGCATGAGGGCATGTAATTTATGAAATATAGTGTCACTAAGTTAACGATATAATCTGACGACACTTGGCACTAACAGTACGTAACAAACGATATGTATAGATTGTTGCTCGTAGCTTATATATCATTTTTGTTTGCAGTCTCTACATTTGTGTCATGTGGCAATTTACTGAGTAGTTACAACGTTTTGTACAGAACTTGTAATGGCAACATGACAACTACTGAATAGCTAAACAAGTGGTGTGGCATATATTTGTTATGTTATGTTATGTTTGAAATTTGAATCTGTATTATGACCCTTTGTAGACTTCATGGTTACCACTGGAGAAGACGACCTTGAGTTAGCTGCATATGTTTCTGATGACCTTGACAGCGTATCTCAGGCTCAAAATATTGATAGCCAGGATGGCGAGCCAATACCGTCCATTTCTGTCAAGGTAAAGTTAATGTGCTAGAAGGTTGTAATGGACTGACTGAACGAAATTATCACCTGTATATGCATATGGTTTAGAGAAAATTATTATGTTGAAGGTATTTTCTTTTAAGGAAGATTTCTTTTAAACTTGAAAATATACAACAATTTACATTCAAATTATTATTATTGCGAAGCTAGCATTTATTATATAGGGTTTATTTTCAATTGCAGATCAGCATCAAATGCAAATCACCAATACAGAGTGTACTGCTCAGTATACACGTGCTGCCACCTCTTGCAGTGACTAAGAGCTTATTTAAATTTTCAGCTGTTGGTAAGCTAGATGGTTTCTTTATTTATATAAGGTAGTGGCTAGTGATTAAGCCACGATTAGTAGAGAGTTACTGTTTGGATGTGATAACTTGGTTTAAACTAAGTGTAACTGTATGTTATGTTATCTACCATAAGGTGTCACGCATGATATTTAAACATGAATGTATCAAATATAGGTGAAACAGAAAAAATATTAGCAACGCCAAGGTTACAAAATTGTGCCCTTTTAAAGATAGAGGGGGAGAGGGAGAGATATAGAAATATAGAGAGACAGAGCATGAAAGAGAGAGAGAGAGTCAGAGAATACCTATTTAAATTAGTTTGGTGATGCCAAATTGTGTTTCCTATTCATTATCAAAGTCACTACTGTGATCTTTTTAGTTGAGACCACAATGATTGTTGGTTTCTACCTCAGCCAACCTGGTGTGCCGGCAGATCTAAATGCAAAGGCTGTCGCGACATACAACACTACCAGTGGTAGGTAGAGAGTTTTCACAATCACTTATAACGTTTTTCTATTTTTTTCCTCATTTTGTGCAATAATTTTTGTTAGCAATTATAGCTTGTAAAAATTTAAGTGTAATATAATATAAGTATATTACTTTTCTCATACTATGAGTAATAATGCAGCTACCCAGACATTGATTACCCCTTAGGGAAAGTGATATACTCGTAGCAGCTTATGGCCTAACCTTAAAGCATGCGCTAGCGTACAGACTAAGGTACGTTTTATCGACACGATCCACAAGATCGTTTGTCGTCGAACGTGTGAGAGAGAGACATGACAATCCTCCCCATGCAGGTGCGCCGCGCGTGGTCGTCCAAGACATAACGCTGCCGCTCCAGCTGGTGATGAAACCTGTTCCACCGTCGAGGACGGCGATGTACAAGATCACGCTGGACACGAACAAGGCCCCGGCGAATCTGAACAGCATCTTTCCTGGTGCGTCATCCCCGCGAGAGTGTGTGACGTTATCGCTAGTCATCGCGTGGCTTCACGGAATGTTCGGCGGCAGTTTTACCTGCTGTCTGTGGCCTGGCAAATTCTTGAGATTTAGTTTTTTTAATTCTTAGCTTGTCGGATAAAATTGGCAGTGATGGCTAGCTATCGTGTGCATATATATGTCGTATAATATCGTCGTGTTGCTATACGTAAGCTTGGTGAATATTTGTTGTGCTGGGGAGGTGCTGCTAGCTTGTGATCTGTGTTGCTGTCATTGCCAGACCTGTCGGGGGAGAACTCTGATGGTTCAGGCCAGGCCATTGGTCTCCAGGTCTATGGCAACAACCAGGAGAAGCCTGTTGTCACGTTACTAGCTTCACGGAATGCGCGTAAGTCTTTGTGAACAGTTGGAATGATACCTCTGGGACGTATACAGTGGGTTGCATATGGGATTGAGTCAGTTCGTACATTGCACTGATCATGTTAATTTTGCTGCTAAGAACAGCATGAGATATTTCGAATCACGTTCGCATTTCCAATTTGGTAAAAGTTGTATAGTGAAATATGCAGATTGGATATCATCACTATTTTACAAATACAAATACAAATTTGTCACTAATAGTAGTACAGTACGCAATCTATTATCCGAAACCCGTGGGACCAGACACGTTTCGGAATTCGGAATTCTTCCGAATTTTGGAATGGTAGTACAGTACAGATATACATATCGTATATCCTGCAACTAGCGCTGATAGGGTCTATGTCTCCCTGGGTACTGCCGGAACGTACTCTGGGTACGGTCCGGTATACCCTGGTAACTATCTGACATGGTTAGGGCTAGGGAGTAGGCGTAGGCGACTCCCTAGACTCGTTGGTGGAGTAGGCAAGGTATGGACCGGCATATTAGATAGTACCAGGGTACGTTCCGGTATACCGGACCGTACCCAGGGTACGTTCCGGCAGTACCCAGGGAGACATAGACCCTGGCAGCGCAACTAGCCAATACTAAAAGCCAAGTTTGCAAGAGGCCAAGTGCTGTACAGGTACAGTACAATATGTATGAGTAATGCCAAACACATTAATATTTCTGCAATGAACCTTGTGCACCCCAACGCGAGCTTTGGTGTGCGGACGACCTCCACAAACTTTCTGGTTTTCAGAATTTCGGATAATAGATTGTGCACTGTATTTGTGTAATTACCATAAGCTAGAACGTTTTATTTTGCTATTCGTTGAATAGAGCGCTACAGAATACAGTGCGACTCGTGGGAGTGCATGTGGCTTCCAATACGGGATCTCATGGAAAGACTACGTGCTTACTACAAACAGATGCACAGCAAGCCCCCGATCCAGATATGGTTCTCTGGCAACATGCCCCTACAGGAGTACTTTGCTGTTGTTGAAGATCATTTTCAGGTGCGCTTTTTTTATTATGTTATTTTTATATACGTATTATTCATTTATTTTTTATTTTTATTTAGGTTTTTTATCTCATAGTGTAGGATTATTTAACCCCAACTTCTGTTATTCTATTTAATTACAGTGTTAGCTGTCGTGGAATTTAAAGATGAACATATGGCTTTTGTTATAATTTTCGGAAAGCTTTATTCATGACAAATAACAATTTTTACTGTTCAATGCCAATTAGAAAACTATTTAACCCTGATTTTAAAATCTATTAGTGTGTGTCATGGATAATGCCATCGTTTTTGTTGTGTCTAATAAGTTCATGTGTTTACCAGTGATTTCTGTGACATTTTGGTAACATTACGTGCGTATAGTAATACGCAATACGTTTCCACAAGATCTAACAAGCTGGGTGCCTGCATGCAGGTACGTTTAGTGAGAGAGAGACATAAACAGCTGCTCAGTGAGCGTGCAGCCCAATTCCGAGCAATTCAGCGCCGTCTGCTGGCCAGATTCAAAGACACAACTCCGGCGCCACTCTCTAACCTGGACACACTGCTAGAGGGCACCTATCACCAGGTAATCTCTCTCGTAAGACACCTATGCTGCATAGATTCGACAATCTGTAACTGGCCGGGCCTGTGTCAGATTTTCACGTGGTCAGTTGCTGTGCATTAGCCCTCTCAAATTATATCTGTAGATCATCTGTAGATCATCTCAAACAGATTAGCAACTGATAGTAATGTTGTTCCAGTCGTTTAATATCGATTACGGTGGATAGAGAAAGAAATGTGTATGAGAATGTTACTGAGAGGAACGGATGTACAAACGGGGTTGTTTAAATGGATTTAATTACATAACCCTCTATTAATCATTGATAACCGCACTAAATCGTGCTTATTTCACCCTGCTCCCATCGTTACATTCACGTGTATCACTCGCTTGCCAATCTCACGTGCACGTGTGTAACGCTTGCGAGTTTCACCTGCAGATTCTAGCACTGTCGGAGGCGTGCGAGGAAACGGAGAAGCAACTAGAACTGACTGCGCTGAACGTGGCCAGCGCGACCAAGTTGCTGTGCACGCTCATCAAGTTGGCCCACAAGATGTCGGACAAGGAGGCGGGGATCCTCGAAGCGTGCCTATCGTCCAACGTACACGACGAGCAGGTGAGAGCAAGTCTATATATGTGCAGAATGCCCTCGCTGTGCGAGTTTGTTTCTGTAATAAAATTTAATGGTTGCAAAGATATATCTCATAATAATAATAGTAAAAGTAGTAGCAGTAGCAGTAGCAGTAGCAGTAGCAGTAGCAGTAGCAATCCAGTAGTAATAATCTAACTGTAATTTTAACAATCTCGTGATATACTTTATTTCGTAGGACCGAGCTTTATTATGTGTGCTAGTTATTTAGAAAATGAAGGAGATGGAAATGTTTGTTCCCCCATAGGGCTGGGAAGAGAGCACTGATGCAGTATTGACTCATATGCTGCGAACATGCCTCTCCAAGTCATATAAAGATCTTAGCCAGTTGGCAATACCTCAACTAACCATTCCTACAGACACATCAAAGTTTCGGAAGCATGTCACGCTACTATGCGACAGGCTTGCCAAAGGTGGTCATCTTAGAATTGGAACAGAAGGTATTGCTTTATCTTGTGTGTTATGCTTATATCTGACAGTAAGTGAGAGAGTATCCTGTTTTGACCATATTTTTCAAACTCGTTTACTCTTATTACGTGTAGGTAAGTGAGACATTGTTGTCTTCTTGTTCGCCAGCTAATTATCTATTATTATTAGTTTATTATATTTAGCTATTATTTATTTATTTATTTATCTCTGTATAGATAGTGAGACAGTCGTGACGGCTAGTGAGGGAGAGGTGACAGACGATGGCTCATCACTGGAGGTGCCTGCAGGAAGCAAGTTTGGTGAAAGGAAAGCAGGAAAGAAGTTGGCAGGGGAACAAGAGTTTGGAGGTTCGTAGAAAAAATGTAGATGTGTTTGTATTTGTTTTTTAAACACTAGTCTAATGTATATGTGAGCCATATACTTTTTTTGATAAAACATTGATATTGAGTAACTATAAACTATTGATGTAAAACATTATTAGACTGAGCATATATGTTACCAATATAATAATCTAATCTACATCGCATAATACAAATCTCATCATTCTATGTTAGTATAATTATTATATATTTCAGTGTCGCCTGAGCAGCTGCCACCAGTAGTAAATAAAGGTAAAGCACTCACGTCCCTTTCACCACTACCAGAGGGAGGCACCACACTGTCCAATGGCACTAACGGTACGGGGGCAGAAACCGAACTGACAGTTGATGCTGAATGAGAGAGTAGGTTGCATTTATAGTAGCAACCGGGTTACAGAAGGTATTCGTTGAGTATCTTAATGCTCACTAAAAATATCCTCCCTTCTGAAAAAGCCGTGTTCCGTTTGGCTATCCAGTACACTTGAATTGTACAACTTTTGTAACCGTGAAAAAATATCAACTAGATGATCTAATTTTGATAATGAGATGGTGAAATTGTGCAAAAACTTGTGCAAAAAAATGAGCAAATTGTCAGGATATGTTCATGAAGCAGACCAATTTGACGTATTTGGCAAGGCAGATTGTATCGTGGTTTGCTGTTTGTGTGTCTTTTGCCTGAATAAGTATTACCCTAACTTCAAACGTGTAAATTACGTTTCGGTCATAAAATTTAGAATAACATTCCATAAACAAATAAGTAATTAAAATTATACATACATTTGTCGATACTAAACTAGATTCATGGCGTAACTGTGTAATATTAGGTAGGTAGGGTTTATTAATTATAAATGAACAACAATCAATTATACACAATGCAATAGAAACTACAATCTGCTATATTTTAGTATAATAAAAAGAGATTATATAATGTAGCTAATGTTGCAATGTAACTGTATTCGCGCACATTTGATAATTTCCATTGTGTTGTGCATCACTTATTGCATTCGTTGTCTATCGTATAGCAGTGGCAAGTCACGCTCATAGGGTCTATGTCCCCCAGGGTACTGCCGGAACGTACCCTGGGTACGGTAGGCGTAGGCGACTCCTTAGACTCGTTAGTGGAGTAGGCGAGGTACGGTCCGGCATATTAGATAGTACCAGGGTACGTTCCGGCAGTACCCCGGGGGACATAGACCCTCTCAGCCTTATTAGATAGTACCAGGGTACGTTCCGGCAGTACCCTGGGGGACATAAACCCTCTCAGCGCAAGTCACGTCCATACATTTTTAAACATGGGTATTTTTTATTGTTTTACCCAGTGGCCTGTGTTGGTTGTGATCAATTTGAGCTTTTTAAATGGCCATGCAAATAGTTCTCACTGTTTCAATTTAAAATGAGCTTTTTTGCCTGGTGGATCTGTGCTTGGCCGTCCAAGTAGTAATGGTCAATTGTTGTAAATATATATAGCAACTAGTTAGGAGCTTGGACTCATAATACATGTGCCAGCTGTGGTGCCTAAACGTCATCAAAAGCATGTGACATATAATCCTCTGTACAATTTCTATGCTAATAAATTAGCATTTTGGCTCACTCCGTCCACCATGTTTATTCACGGTCATTTTGTGTTTATTGATTTGTTGTCATCGTACAAAGATGTGTATGTATGCTGTGTCAGTGTGATACCTAGAGAGAATTCCCAGGTGTGAATTTAGTACCACTTTTTGTCAATATATGTACAGTATGTCTCACAAGTAGTTGCATTTATTAATTTCATGTAGCTATGTACACCAGATAGCTAGTTATTATAGTGATTATGGATGAATATTTTAATTAAGGTTTATTGAACCATAATATCCTACACTGAATATTTTTGCAGTTATTCCATTCCAACAAGAGTGAATCAATTATTATAAGTTCGCTACACTCTTAATCCCATTATTTATTCAATTCATTTCATTACATGCAATAAAGATTTAATAATAATAATAATTCCATACATGGTCTCACTAGATTTGTTCAAAACAGTGTGAATGGAAATAACGTGGCTGCTATAGCATTTTGATAATTCAGGGAGAAATGATGAAACTATAATTGTAAATGTGATCGTACAATGTTAGTGAGAAGAAACGCAAGTTGTCGATAAGCTGTCCGTCCATCTAAGAGTGTGATTTTGTAAAGGTGAAATAAATGTGCGTTGTGAATAGTTTTCCATGTGTTTATAGCTGGATGTGTTTTTACCTCTATGCCTTCGGTTGTGTAAGTTGTGCTGAAGGGGTCGTTCTCGTATATGTAGTACCCGAGGTGTCGGCGAGTATGTTGCGTACGCCTACTCCCTAACCCTAACCCTAACACCCTAACCATATCATATAGTTACCTCGGGTACATATTTGTACTAGTCTACCCTATACGACAACGACCCTTCGTGCCTAAGTTGTGCTCATAGGGTCTATGTCCCCCAGGGTACTATCGGAGGGTACCCTGGGTACCGTTCGATATATCGGAAAGTACCTCGAGGTACTATACGATATGTCGCTGCGTACCCAGTATTGTCCCACTGTACCCTGACTTTCAGCCAACTGATATTGTAATACATATACACTCTGTCAAGTTACCACATCACATAGAAGAAACCTCAAAACATCGCAATCCAATAAAAATGTCAAACTCCACGACAGATGGCGCTCTCGCTCATGGGCTCAATCTACTGAGTGAGCGAAGGGGCACTGCATGCAGTTTGTAAAAATGTATGCTATGTTTGACTATATTTTTCTTTTTCCTTTTTTTTAAACGAAGAGCTAGCTTTTATATTTTAGTTCTAATATTTCTATATATTCAGGAAATACGTCCATATAAAGTAAGGGTACGGTGGGACAATGCAGGGTACGCAGCGATATATCGAATAGTACCGCTCATAGGGTATGTCCCACAGGGTACTGCCGGAACGTACCCTGGTAACTATTTTATAGGGTTAGGGTTAGGGAGTAGGCGTAGGCAACTCCCTAGACTCGTTAGTGGAGTAGGCGTAGGCAACTCCCTAGACTCGTTAGTGGAGTAGGCAAGGTACTACCGGTTCTGGTACCGGACCGTACTCAGATACGTTCCGGCAGTACCCTGGGGGACATAGACCCTCTCAGATATAGTACCCCGAGGTACTTTCCGATATATCGAACCGTACCCAGGGTACCCTCCGATAGTACCCTGGGGGACATAGACCCTATCAGCGCAAGGTGTAGCGTAATCTGTTCCTTACTTGTGGCACGTGTAGAATTGTTATGGGTTGCGATTTTAAGGGTTTGCATGTTTTAATCATCGTTTTCCTACTGCTAGAAGCAACCATGTACCTTCTATGCCAGAGCCGTGTATAGAGAGCTCTATATACGGCTCTGTTCTGTGCAATGGAAATACTATATATCTTTCTATACTTGATTGTAAACCTCGTGTATACTGGGGAATTATATGTAATAATCGTTTTGACTTGTTTTTTAAATTTGAGAGAATACGTTCTGATAAATTCTCTATGTTTGGAATACGTAATCTAAAAGGTACATTTAGAATTTGTGCGAAAAACAAAATGGTGATACCCCCGGCGGGACTCGAACCCGCAGCCTCCGAATGTCATCTTCACCATTAGAAGTCCGACGCGCTATCCATTGCGCCACGAGGGCATTTCTGCTAGTAATACAGAGACCTGCCTAGCTATCCCAAGCTATTCTATGTATCGTGCTCTGTGGAGTAGCAGCATGAGCCTGAGGTGTTAGGGATATGTATGTATAGCTGACACGTGTCAGTGCGTTCAGTGGTTAAATGAGTGAGGAAATAATAGTAGTAGTGCAAATTTCTCTCGAGCTTACGTAGTACGTCTATATTATCTTACTCCTGGTACTACTAGTACTACTCCCGTCGTTCGTCGAGTAGACAGAGCTAGGTCGATGGTCAGTGGTGGTGAATCGATCCGACGATCGTGCACACGGTGTAGCGCGAAATTTCTGACTTGCTAAATTCATGATGTAGGATGCGTACATGCCAGCGTTGGATTGTTTAATTCGCATTGTTCGCTCGATTGTTCGCTTGGACGCCATGTAATGTATTTTTTTCTCAAGCATATACTCATATAGAGGCATGTCCAAGAACTGATCGATCAAAGGTCGTGTGAACGCTCTCTTCAACGACGCTCCGTGTCGTTTTTGGTCAGAATATCAACTACAATCTCTACCTATCAACTCTAAACTCTAAATAACTAATATAAACATTACAACCAAAGATCGCAACATAGTATAGTTACTTATCGTAACACAAAGACGAGCTGTGATTGGTCGGGTCGGCCCGCATGCGCATACGCATCTTATATCCTGCATTTCGCAGCCGGCTGAAAGGGGTGATAGGATATGTTTACTAGGCACTTCTAATTTTAACATATATTTTACGATATATTAAAGAATGATGCAAAAACCCTAAAAAGTGCCCTAACCCTAACCCTAACCCTAACCCTAACCCTAACCCTAACCCTGACCCTAATTAAATTTAAAATATATGTTAAAATTAGAAGTGCCTAGTAAACATATCCTATCACCCCTTTCAGACCGGCAGACGGGGAATGCAGGAACTCATCGTCTAAAAACATGACCCCATAGTAGTAGAAAAGCGTGGAGACATTCGGATGCTAGCGAAACGGCACCTCGCTAAAGTTTACAACCAGACCAAAGTGTACTGGCTGACCAGGTTGCTCATCACTCCTTGTGAACAGCCAGGGACCCATAATCATCATCGTTAGGGCCAAACTACAAATGTATTTGATACTACACAAGAGAACCAAGCTTCACAAGACCTTTTCATATGAGCGACTGACTTAAGGGTATCAATTGATGAAAAATATAAACTGCCGGACTTGCGATATTTTGTGTGAGCAGATCAAGCATTCGGCCCTGCTGCTCTTCAATGGCGCTTTGATATGTTTAACAGCTGCCTCGTGCACTAACAACATCCAAAGCATGTGCCGAGGAAGCAGAGTCATTGCCATCGAAAAGCCTGGTAAAGCTCAGCTAGCTCCAGCTAGTATAGGCCCATCTCATTGCTCTGCATACATACAAGCTCTTCGAAAGACTCATTTTCAAACGTTTGACCCTTTACCATGGACAAACTTTCTTCATCCAGGCAGGCAGGTTTCGACCAGGAATCCTGTACAAGCAACTCCTTAACCTTAACCCAAGTCATCGAAGACTGGGTATGCAAAAGAGTTGATATGGAGCAGCTTTTGTTGACCTCTCGCAGCCTACGAACAGTAACCATGAAGGTTCGTACCAAAAACTATTACAGCTAGTAATAGGATAGTGAGACTTAGCAGAACTATCAGGAGCATGTTGGCAAACAGGGCGGTTTTTCGTGGATCTCAATGGTAACGCAGCGATGCGCGTAGACAGAAACTGGCCTCCTTCCAGGAAGCGTCTGGCGCCTCTGCTCTTTGAATCTATACACAAATGCGACAGCAATCACCCAACACCAGGGTTCCTTTATGCGATGACCTCTGCAGTTTGCTTCACAAAAACAGTCCTTTGGCGAAGTCCCGAACCGTCCATCCCGATGCTTCGCAGGGCCTAAACCTACTACACGCAAACCATCTCGGAGCCAATCCGGGAAAGACTCAAATAGTGCCTTCAATCTAAGAACAGAAGCAGGCGAACCGCAATGAAGTCAATGGTATGGACAAAGGAGCTGCAAACATACCTATAGCCCAGTCTTACCTAGGTGTTACTTCTAGACCGTTCGCCTACTTACAGATCACAATCATCAGACAAAGGCCAAAGTGGGTTGCAAACAGTATGCTAAAGAGTTGCGCCAAGTTACTAAACTGCGGGACAGACGCCGGGACAATCGAACATGCTATCGCCTTGAGCTACTCTGCGGCTGAGTATGCGTGCCCTGTATGAGGTAGGCTCGCACCATGCTGCAAATTTGACCCAGTTCTGAACTTGCCTGTCAGAGCCATTTCTGGATGCTTGAGACCAACCAACGTAGATGACCTCTACCTTGCCTCTGTGGATCGCTCCCCACACGTTAGACGAATGGCTTCATCCCAATAGAGAACATTACCAAGAGAATGACCCGCCACCCC